GGAAGTAAAAAAACAAACTATGGGAGTCGGTCGTCCCCTTTAATCATGTGGGTCCTGGGGCTCAAACTCAAGGCTTTGGATTTTATGGCAAGCCATATTCCTGGACTCATTTAGGGTTTTTGAGAGAGAGCCTCATGTTCCCAGGCTGGCCGTGAATTCACTCACAATGTAGCTAAAATTGGCTCTGAGTTCCTGATCCTCCAGCATGTACCTCATAAATGCTGGGACACATTTACTACACCTGCCTGCACTTACGTTTCTGGCATTACCCACACTGGGTGTTAGCTTACTCCTTGAAGCTCACGGGCTCAGGCAGAAGGACTGCTAGGGTTGCATAGGAAAACCTGATCTCAGCCAGGCACTGTGTGGCACATGTATGGAATTCCAGCTCTCAAGATGCAGAGGCAGGAGGATCACCACAAATTCAATGCCAGCATGGTCTGTATAGTGAGTTCAAGGTCAATGAGTGACTGCCCCCCAAATAAAAACCCACATGGTGGTGGCGACCCACAATCATAAATAATCTAGAACTTGAGAGCTAGGGGCAGGAGGGTCTAGAGTTCAAGGTCACAAGACCTGTCCCCCCACCCCCAGAAAGGTAAAGGGTAGAGGAAGAAAGCAAAGAAAGAGGAAAAAGGGGTGTAGCTAGAGAGATGGTTCAGCAATTAAGAGAGCTCACATGACAGCTCACAACTGTCTGTAACTCCAGTTCCAGGCTCACATCCTCACAGAGGATATACATGCAAGCAAAACACCAATACAAATAAAATAAAAATAAATGAATCATTTTAAAAAAGAAAAAAATTGGGGCTGGCGAGATGGCTCAGAGGATAAGAGCAATGACTGCTCTTCCAGAGGACCTGGGTTCAATTCCCAGTAACCACATGGTGGCTCACAACCATCTGTAATGAGATCTGGTGCCCTCTTCTGGCCCACAGGGTTACATGCAGACAGAATATTGTGTATATAATAAATAAATAAATCTTTAAAAAAAAAAAGAAAAAGAAAAAAAAATCTTTGTATGGTGGCCAGTCCTGTAATCTCAGCATTTAGAAGGTGGAAGCAGCAGGGTCAGGGTTCAAGGTCATCGTGGGCTACTGAGAAATTCAAGCCTCTGGTCTACGCGAGATCCTGTCAACAAACATGCAAACAACCAAAATAAATAAAACGAGAATAAACAATCTAAACAATCGGGGCATAGAGGCCCAGTGGGGTGATGTTAGCACTACTGTGGTGGGCTAGGGGGAAGGGGGAGCAGCAAAGTGACAGAGCAACACATGCTTAGAATGTGGGGACCCTGGGTTCAATGCCCAGCACCAAAACACATGCTTAGAATGTGGGGACCCTGGGTTCAATGCCCAGCACCAAAACCAAAACACACTCACGAAGGAGCTGATTAGGAGGAAGGGGCTAAGAAGATGAAGCCACTTCAGGAGGGAAGCAACCTGGACTTCCGGTTTTAGTCGGCTGTGAAAACGGGGTTCAACCTGAAGCCAGTGAGAGGACCAGGTTTTGAAACTAAAAAGACCACTGATGCAAATAGCAAAAGAACTAAGAAGAATAAACTAACTTGGTCAAGGGTAGAAGTAGGGGCAGAGTGATACGCTCGCTGTAGGGATTTTTTTCATTTGCTTTTCCCTACAGAAGGTTCTAGAATTTAAGCTGTGAGGTGAACTGACAATACAGGGATTAACAGATGTGGGTGGGTTGGTCATACACTTTATTTACACTTGTGAGTAAGTACGAAGGTTGGAAACAAAGCATGAAAATCAGAGAGCAACAAGATGGCCGAACTAAAGATGGTGGAACTAAAAGAAGGCTCCGGGGCTTAGGCCCCTGGGGAGGGGGTGAAGAGGGCAGCAGAGGCTTCAGGCTGTGGGAAAGACATGCATTCAGCCCAGGCTGTCTATAAAACGGGGCCTCCTGGAAATTCCCACCCTGGGCTGCTCTGCCCGGGCCAAGTGTCAGACACCCACTTTCCTTAAGAAGCGGCTCCTGGATGCTGAGAATAGCCTGTGTCTACAAGACTGGGCACTAATGTTCACAGAAATAAACTACCTTTGGCCAAAGCACAGTTTTTTGAGACACTCCTGTGTCTACAAAGGGGAAAGCTATCCTGAGAGTTAAGGACCCTCAAAACCAGCCCCGTTTCTGTTGGTATCGATCAGTTATACGAGGAACAAAAACCCTCAGGGGCATTCCACTTTGGGCTGCCTGGGTACTTTCTACAGATGGGAATAAATACAATTATTAAATAAACATTGCTATAAATAGGGAAGTTTCCAGACCCCAGGGTACAGTACACTTACTGGAATAATAATGCAGATTAACTGAGAAATGTGAGCAGGTATTTTTAACTTTCCGCAAAAGAATTTTAACCATGCAGCCTAAAGGGATGAGGGGTCAAAGGGGTTCCCATTGGTGGTGGTGGTTAGTAGTTCTCAGGATTAAACCTAAGGTCTTCTTATATGCTAACTAGAAGTCCTGAGGAAGAAAGCTTGTCTACTGTGTTAGAACACGAAACGAGAAGACATTGTGTCCTCAAAGATGAAAACTGGTTTTCTGTAGTTATCGTCCAGAATGGAGCTAGCAAAGTCAGGCTTGGTGGGACAGCTACTAGGGAGGCCTAGGCGAGAACATCTCAAATTCAAGACCAGAGCTAGTATGGTCTATACAAATTCCTAATGAGAGGGGGCAGGTCCCAAACTACCGCTCAAAGCAAAGAAGACTGTCCGGGACGTCGGATAGTACTGTGACACACCCAGACTGTTAATAAAATTCAACTTTGAATCAAGGGGTGGAGTCCTTGACTAACTGACTGGAATTGGTTACAGAGATTTTGAAAGACTGAGATAGAGAGGCAGAGGAAGAGGTAGGGAGGGGCCTGGAGAGATTCCCTGTCTTTTTGATCTAGGCAGGTGAAGAGAGAAGGTCAGCTAGTCTTTCCTCAGTTGCTTTCTTGATCTACCAGGTTTGAAGTTCCAATGTAAAATTAGCATAGTGTGGAAACAATTTGAACCATTTTTCGTGTACCTTAAGCCATGTTTTATGCCTTCACAAGTTGTATTTACACACCTCAGAACATTGTGAGGGCCGGGCGGTGGTGGTGCTCGCCTTTAATCCCAGCACTCGCAAGGCAGAGGCAAGCGGATCTCTATGAGTTTAAGGCCAACCTGGTTTACAGAGTGAGTTCCAGGACAGGCAGCAAAGCTACAGAGAAATGCTGTCTCTAAAAACCAACCAAACAACAACAAAAAGCCAACAACAAAAAAATTCTCAGATTCTCACAGCGCAAGCTTTCCTGCCCTCAGACCTTTCTAACTTGCATTTTCACACCTTAAGTCGCATTCTTCATGTCCTCAGACCTTTATACATACCTTAAAACACCTTCTTAGACCCTAAAACATTTTTTCTAGATCCTCCCAACTTAGACTTTATGTTATACAAACTTTACCATAAGACACAAGTGGTTGATTACTGCTAATAGTCATTGTAAAGCGAGTTAAAGAAATAGAAGAGACTTGAGAAGGCAGCTGAAGCCGTGGGGAGAAAGGAGCTGGGTGTTTGCTGCTGTTACAACAACCTGTCAATCAAGATCACATATTAAACTGGACAGTGGTGGCGCACGCCTTTAATCCCAGCATTTGGGAGGCAAAGGCAGGGGAATCTCTGTGAGTTCGATGAAAGCCTGGTCTACAGAGTGAATTCCAGAACACCCAGAGCTACACAGAGAAACCCTGTCTCGGTTTAAAATCTCTCAAAAATAAAGCACCCTTTTTTTCATTTCAATAGGAAAACATAGGGCATGACCACAATCCACACCAGGCAAAACCAAGCTCCAATAGTGGAAACAGTCTTTCCCAAGGGGCTCAGGTCACCCTTGGCCCTAGCCTTGGCAGCATTTCCAGCCTGCCTTCTAGATCCCAGCCTGCTCCATTTAAGTGTGGTTGGCTTTTGTAATGACAATCATATGGCAACATCTTCAAAGCTGCTAGAAGCTTCATTGTAACTCGTCTCTCTTTAGGAACTCTAACCCTGCCAGGCACTAACAGACCTCGGCTGTTTCCTATGCCGCCTTCATGTCTTCAAACCAATCTCACCTAGAGGACTCCTAATGTTACAAAGTTCGACAGCCAGGGCAAGGTACGTTCTTGCATAGGAATGCCTGCAGGTGTAGCTTTAAGAACTTACTATACACACACATTGTTTGTAAATCCTATCTTTCATAAACCTCGTTTGCAAGACAGGAATTATCATTAAAAAAATCTATCCTAGTTAAAAATATCTTGGAGACCTGTTGCTGCCTCCTTGGTAGGCCCATTCCATGTTGGCCACCTTTAACTAAGATGGCGGTGAAGTCACATGACATCCATCTTCTCCAACCCTAGCAAAGATGGTGACCAGCCACTGGCTGCCTAAAGATGGAATCTTAGTTCTTCATCTATGCGAGGGCTGGAGAGATTGCTCAACAGTCCAGTGGTCCCGAGTTCAATTCCTAGCAGCAGCATTGTGGCTCACAACCACCGGCTATAATGAGATCTGGTGCCCTCTTCTGGCCTGCAGGCACACATGCAGTCAGAACATTACACATAATAAATTATTATTATTATTATTTTGAGACAGTTGTCCCGGAACTAGCTCTTGTAGACCAGGCTGGCCTCAAACTCACAGAGATCCACCTTGCTCTGCCTCTTGAATGCTGGGATTAAAGGCGTGAGCCACTACTGCCCAGCGAGAAATGTGATTTTTTTTTTCTGCCTCCAGAAATCTCAGAATGATACGTCTGAGATCTGTCTTCCCCGTTTTATAATCCTCTCTAGGGCTGGGATTAAAGTCCTGCACCACCATCATTAAAGACATGCACCGCCTAGTTTCTATGGCAACTGGTGTGTCTGGTGTGGATTAAAGGTGTGTGTCATTATGACTACTGAGTTTAAAGACGTGTATTACCATAATCTGGTCTGTAAAGCTAACCAGTGGGATTGTTTTACGCACAAATATTCAGGCAGTCTTTATTTATTAAAATGCAGTTGAAATGGCACTACATTGAGGAATGGGGTTCTTGAAAGACTGGGTGAGGCCTGTCCCCAACCTTGTCCATGAGAACAGCAGGAACGGGAAGATCTGGTGTCTGGAAGAATTCTCAGGGAGGATGCTGCTCGGTGCTCCCAGGCTGCTCCTTTGTATATCTGGACCTGAGAGGAGCTCCTAGGGAAGCTGAAAAAGGCCAAGTGGAGGAACAAGAGTCTTGAGAAATGCTAAGAAAAACTCTACCAGCCAATATCCAAAAATCTTCAGCAGGGGGCAGCAAATTTAAACATGTATCTCAATCTTTTCCCAGCGGGAGAGTAGTTTTGTATTGGAGAGGGGCAGACAGGGTTTCCTGCAAACCACTGGTTGACCTAAAACTCACTATCCAGACCAGGATAACCTTGAACATTCAGATAGCCTTCTGTTTCCACATCCTGCATACTAGGATGACAAACAAGATTATGTTTAAACAATTTCCCTATTGATTTATTGTGTATGTGCTTGGAAACCCACAGGCCACAGTGTGGATGTGGAGGTCAGAGGAAAGACTGCCGGAGATGGCCTGTCCTTCTACCATGTGGGTACTGGGTTTGAATTTAGATCACCACACTTGGCAGTGAACATCAGTAACATGGGCAACCAAGGAGCAATTGAGTTCACCCGAGAACATTTTTGAAAAAAATGATTTACTTTTATGTACATTGGTGTTTGCCTGCATGTCTGAGACAGAATAGTCTATAGGGTTCATTGACCTGGATGGAATTTTCCATTCTTGTCTTGAGTGCCCAAATACAGGTGTGTATCACCACACCCAAATAAAGATTGGTTTTTAACTTTGTGATACATATGTGTGTGTGAGTGTATGACATTCTTGTGTGTGTGCACAGGTGTATTCAAAGGCCAGAGGTCAATCTGTGCTGTCTTTCTTATGAATCTTCACCCTTATTTTTTGAACAAGGTCCTTCACTGAACTTGGAGTCCTCTGATACTGCAAGACCAGCTGGTCGCTGAGCTGCAGGGTCTTCCTGCCTCTCACTCCTCAGTGTGAGGGCTACAGGCAGGCCCCACTGCAGTGGCCAGGGTTCTGAATTCAGGTCCTCACACTTCTCCTCGGTTCGGCTAGATGGTACTTCTGAGAATCCGCTTTGCAGAGTCGTTCGGAAGTCAGCTTAGTGCTGTAGGAAAGCGCTACTAATCAACCGTAGTTCCCTGAGCTCTCATCTGTACAATGGTGACAACTGCCTCCAGGTTCTTAGACCAGATAGAATGGGGTAATGCGGAGTAAACAGTCAACTCTGCATCCCACAGAATCCGAGAGAGGAATTAGTCTGGGTCACCTGAGACCAGATTGAGCACCACAGTTGGAGCCTATCCTTCAAGAGAGTGAGCGCTCTCTTTACGCGTATGCCTCCATGACAGATCCCGCTATAGATGGTTGTCAGCTACCACGTGGTGGCTGGGAGTTGAACCTGGGTCCTCTGGAAGAGCATCCAGTGCTCTTAACCGCTGAGCCATCTCCTGAGGCCCCATAAATCTCTTTTTTTTTTTTTTTTGCTTGTTTTTTGAGGCAGGGTTTCTCTGGCTGTCCTGAACTCACTCTGTAGACCAGGCTAGCTTCTAACTCACAGAGATCCGCATGCCTCTGCCTCCCGAGTACTGGGATTTGTGCTCAGCTCAGAAGTCACTTTTATAATGGACCGAATAATTCTTTATACCTACGAAGTTAAGGCTCTAAGACCCGGAGGGTTCACTTCAAGAGAACATAGAGCTGAAGGCTGAGGCGGACTCGGTCTTCAAAATAAAACTTGTGGAAAGGGCGCTGGGGTTGCGCGGGCAGAAATTCAGTACTTGGAGAAGGGAGAAGGGAGAAGGGAGAAGGGAGAAGGGAGAAGGGAGA